TGCGCGTTGCCAATGACCTTCTTCAAGCAGCCCTTCATCGACTTGATTAGGCGCTCGAATATCCCACCCCACCACGGTGCCTTCTCGACATTAAATAGCCAGTTGACCCTTGAGTTGACCAATTTCCGCGCTGCGGCCTTGAAAGTTGCTGCGTTGTCGGAAATTACACTGGCTGGTGTTGATGTAGTTCAACTTGGAATCCGAGTCCCCGACGGCGAGGACATCACGGTACAAGCCTATGCTGTGCCGCTATTGTGTGACCCGATTACTGGCCAATCCATGCACACGTCAGTGGAGTGCTGTAGTCACCTCGATGGATTGGCGCTAGCCGACACCAGATATGACACAGGTACTCGATCAGTGGATCTGCTAATCGGCGCGGACCTCTACTGGACTATTGCAACGGGTAACATCATCCGAGGTGCCGACGGACCTGTGGCCATTGAGACAAAGCTAGGGTGGGTCCTATCCGGTCCAGCCACCGTACTTCCCACGCCAGAAGATACCAGTGCACTGGCCACGCACGTCTTCTCCGTCGAGGAAGAGGCATCAGCAGCAGATCGAGAGCTCACTGACTCCCTGCAAAGGTTCTGGGAAATTGAATCACTTGCAGACCAGGACAAGACGGAGTATGAAGAACTCGTTGAGACAATCAATTTCAACAATGGACGGTATGAGGTCAGACTACCATGGAAGGACGATCATCCATTGTTGCCGGACAATTTCCAACTCTGCAAGTCCAGACTCGTCGGTCTCCACAAACGGCTCCGCAAGGATCCTGAGCTGCTCAAGTCCTACAATGACACCATCGAAGAGCAGCTGCGTACCGGCATCATTGAACCCGTGGAGACAGAAGACAGCACAGTCGGTCGAACGCACTATTTGCCGCATCATGCTGTCGTGCGAAGTGATAAATTGACAACGAAGGTGCGTGTGGTGTACGACGCGTCAGCTAAAACAGCCGGCACGTCCCTTAACGCATGTCTGAGATCAGGTCCACCACTCACCGGCAGTATTGTGGATATCTTGTTGAGGTTCCGCACCCATGAGGTCGCGCTGTCAGGCGACATTGAGAAGGCATTCCTCATGATATCGATCGCCGAAGAGGACAGGGACGTCCTGCGATTCCTGTGGTTTGACGATGTCACGAAAGACAATCCCGAGATTGTTGTGTTCCGCTTCACCCGCGTTGTGTTCGGCGTCACATCCAGCCCGTTTCTGTTGAACGCAACCGTGAGACACCACCTCAGCCAGTTCAGCCAAGATGATCCTGAGTTTGTGCAGACTCTGGCCGACGGGACTTATGTGGACGATATCAATGTGGGTGGTGAAACGGATGACGAAGTGTACATGCTGTACTTGAAATCAAAGCTTCGTCTGGCCGACGGCGGATTCAACCTACGCAAGTTTGTTACCAACTCACCTGACCTCAGACGTCGCATCAAACACAGTGAAGCCAGTCTTGCAATGGTCAGCAGCAATGGTAACTCGCAAGTCCCGAGCTCACCTGATCCAACCTATGCCGAATTGTCCCTGGGACAGCCGCAGGAGACGAGGGACTCGCTACACAAGGTGTTGGGAGTCACTTGGAACTACCAGCAGGACACCCTCATCTTCGACATGGCACAAGTGGCGCGACTCGCCAAGGAAGTGACACCAACAAGACGTCACATTGTCGGCATAGCAGCGCGCTTCTTCGACCCACTTGGCTTCCTCGCACCGGTGATCCTGCTGTTCAAACTGATGTGTCGCGATCTATGCCAGAGCAAACTGTCCTGGGACGACTCACTTGAGCCTATTCAACTTCGTCAGTGGAACAAGCTAGTCGAATCCCTCAACGGTGGACCTACCCTACAGCTGCCAAGGTGGCTGTCATCAGCATTTGCCGACATGGACGCAGAGGCCATCAGAGCTTTCTCTCTGCGGGGTTTTGCAGATGCATCCAGTCAAGCCTATGGTGCAGTCCTCTACTTGTGCGTTGACAGCGGCACTAGACGAGATGTGCAGTTCCTTGTGGCCAAGACCAAGGTCGCACCACTGACCGGGATGACGATACCCCGACTTGAACTACTAGCTGCAGTACTACTGGCGAAGCTCGTGCAATCAGTGACGACCGCACTGGAGCCTACAGTCAGTATCGAGAATGTATTGTGCTACACCGACTCGCGCGTTACGTGGCACTGGATTACCGAACAGCGTGAATGGAAGCAGTTTGTGCGACGCCGTGTTCAGGAGATACGGGAGAGAGTGCCAGCGGCAGCCTGGCGTCATTGTCCTGGCAAGGACAACCCAGCGGACGTCGCTTCCAGGGGAACCACGCTAACTGAACTTGCGCTGGACGAGAAATGGAAATGTGGGCCAGCATGGCTAAAGACATCTGACGGACAGGAAATCAGCGCTAGTAGCATGCCCGAGGAGTGCCGTGCAGAGATGAGCAGAAGAGAAATGGAAGTCGTCGACAACTCAGCCGCCTTACTGACAACGACACATCCATCGTCAGACATCGGACTGGTCATCGACTGTACCCGCTTCAGCAATTACAACCGACTTCTGAGAGTGACAGCTACAGTGCTGAAGGCCGTACAGCGCTTCAAGTCTAAACGGCAAGAGAGTGAGAGCGAACTCACGGCTGGAGATTTAGATCTCGCCGAGAAGCTGTGGATCAACCATCTTCAACTTGCGCTCCCGTCTCATCAGCACTACAAGTCTTGGCAGGCAGAATTCGGTCTGTTTGTGGACAACGGTCTCATCCGCTGCGGTGGCCGACTCCAGAACTCTGATCTGCCTCTGACAACCAAGCACCCGTACCTTCTGCCGAAGGATCACCACGTGACTGACCTGATTGTTAATGAGTGCCATGCCCGAGTGATGCATGGTGGGGTCAAGGCCACACTAACGGAGTTTCGCGCACGTTTCTGGCTCGTGAAGGGACGTCAACGGATACGTCAAATTATTCACAGCTGCAGAACTTGTCGTCGCCACGACTCGAAGCCATACACAGGACCCAAAGCACCTCCGCTACCAAGATTCCGGGTAGAGCAGACTACTCCATTCAGCTACGTGGGAGTTGACTATGCCGGACCACTACACATCCGGAACGAGAATGGTCCAGCCAAGGTTTGGATATGCCTGTTTACGTGCTGCACGACTCGAGCAGTTCATCTAGATGTCGTTAGTGAAATGTCCACGTCGGCGTTTATGTTGGCATTTCGGCGCTTGTCCGCCCGATTTGGAACACCAGCCAGTGTAATTTCCGACAACGCAGCAACTTTCAAGGCCGCAGCGCGGAAATTGGTCAACTCAAGGGTCAACTGGCTATTTAATGTCGAGAAGGCACCGTGGTGGGGTGGGATATTCGAGCGCCTAATCAAGTCGATGAAGGGCTGCTTGAAGAAGGTCATTGGCAACGCGCATTTGTCTTTAGATGAATTGCAGACTATTCTGATGGAAGTGGAGAGAACTCTGAACTCGAGGCCACTAACGTATGTATCGTCGGAAGACACCGAGGAGCCCCTCACCCCCAGCCACTTGCTATGTGGGCACCGATTGCATGGTCAGGCGGATGAGCTTGTGCCCCAAATGGACCCGGACTTTGACTTAACTCCAGGAGACGCCAACCGGCGACTGGCATACCTCGACAGCATCCTCACCCATTTCTGGAGTCGATGGCGACGGGAGTATTTGGTTGACCTTCGCGACAGCCATCGCAGCTTGCAGACTACAGCCGGGGACGCGGTGTCACTTGATGATGTGGTGGTAATTGAGGACGAGTCAGCCAAGCGATGTCAATGGAACCTTGGAAGGGTCCATGAGCTGCACACGGGAAGAGACGGGCAAGTTCGTGCCGTTACGCTTCAGATGGGTTCAGGCCGGAAGCGCCATTACTTGAAGAGACCAGTCCAGCGCCTCTATCCCGTAGAGTTGTCTAACAGTCAGCAGGTTGACGTTGAGCAGCATGAAGACGCTCCAGCACGCCGACCAAGATCGCAGAGACGCGCAGCTGCTCACGCAAATGAGATGAGACAAGCGCTGATCACTAATAACTGCATTTAATTTGGGTCTACTCACAATTGTCCATAACTGGCCAATTGGGGGGAGTGTAGGAAATGCTCATTTCGCTAGAAAGTTCAAGAATCTATTTATTCATTTATTTCTTATTTGTCTGAAGTCACTAACTAACTTACATTAAAATTACAGTCTTCTCAGATATTTATTTACCGGTTTTCATTCCGTTTGGCTATTGCAGACGCTCGTTTGTAGGGTGCGTCTCGTACTACGTAACTGTTTCTGCGTACCGGTAACTTCTTCAGCGGACACAGATACGTGTAACGTGTGCACGTATAACTTGTTCTACATACGCGCGCACCCCTTTGTGTGTGCATGCTGTTCCTTTTTTGCTATGCTCTTGAAAAATGAAATCATTCTTGTTTTCGAGTTATCTGTCGTCCATTGCTTGGACTTCTTTGGAGCGAATAATTATTGAAAGGAAGAGTCAAGATGTATTCTCTTGTTGGAATAATGAGCATGAGCCTGATGTCAGTGATGAGGATATAAATTTAGTTAATCCTCCAGTTCCCACGGAATTCGTATGTTGAGAATTTCGTACCCATGCATGTCAAAACTAAACTTAGTCAAACACTTGTATCTCAGGACTTGGAATGAACTTACTTGATACTTAGGCATGACGTCATGCTATTCTGTCGCACGCACTGAGTATATACCACTGTACTCTGTAGTATTAGGCTAGGGTGTCTAGAGGCATGCCATTGACCCAGTCGATGATACTCCTGACTGTGTGTCCATGGGTAGATAATACTACTGAAGTACGTGCACAGTACAGTATGTGTCAGTAGCCATGTGGAACGCAAGCAGTGTTGTGTGATTGTTGTCATTGCACATTGTGTTAGGTTGTATGCAACATTAAGATGAAACCTGACAGTTGACGGACTAAATGTGCCTGTGTTTTGTTGTTGTTCTGATTCCATCTGGCTAACATGTAGTAACCACATCACAACCTGTGACTGACCTAGCGGATGCTTTAAAGCGGGTGCGTTTGGAGACAGAGGGCCCGGTCCACATTGGTACATCCACAAACAGTGCCAGTGGCACAGGACCCATTCAGACTGCCAACATTCTACCTGCGGGTATGTAGCAGGGTAACTGTGTGTATGTGTGTGTGTGTGTGTGTGTGTGTGTGTGTGTGTGTGTATGTGTATGTATATATATATTATGTGTGTGTGTGTATGTGTATGTATGTGTGTGTATGTGTATGTATATATATGTGTGTGTGTATGTGTATGTATATATGTGTGTGTGTGTGTATGTATATATGTGTGTGTGTATGTGTATGTATATATGTGTGTGTGTATGTATATATGTGTGTGTGTGTGTGTGTGTGTGTGTATACTTCGAAGTATATGTGTGTGTGTGTGTGTGTGTGTGTGTGTGTGTGTGTGTGTGTGTGTGTGTGTGTGTGTGTGTGTGTGTGTGTGTGTGTGTGTGTGTGTGTGTGTGTGTGTGTGTGTGCGTGCGTGTGTGAATGTGTGTGTGTGTATGTGTCACACACATTCACACACATGCAGACACGCACGCTGTGTATCTCCATGTGCGTGTCGTTGTTGTTGTTGTTGTTGTTGTTGTTGTTGTTGTTGTTGTTTTTGTTTGGCTTTATTTGCCGTGTATGTGTGCTGTAGCCAATGAAAGTGCCGATTTGTGTGTGTGGGTGTGTGGGTGGGTGTGTGTGTGTGCGTGCGTGTCTGTGTGCGTGTGTGTGTCTGGGCGTGTGCGTGAGTGTGTGTGTGTGTGTGTGTGTGTGTGTGTGTGTGTGTGTGTGTGTGTGTGTGTGTGTGTGTGTGTGTGTGTGAGTGTGTGTGTCTGTGTGCGAGCGCAAGGACCATTAATTTGATAAGTCTGTGCTGAGGGACAACTTACTATTGTAAACTAAACACACATCCACGGGGCAGGACCACTTCAGTCAGTGTTTTCCACCATCTGACAATTCCTATCATTACATGTACTGTAAAAGCCATATAACAGCGAAGTGCTAACTTTAACTCGGATGGTGAGCCAATAATATATATAAGTGCTAACGAGTAGAAATCTGTCGTTAAAATAGAAATCGTTATACAGAAATCGATACATATACTGTCCAATTGAGCGTTGAGAATAAGTGAGAATCTTTACCTTTGGTACACGTAAACTAGTCAAGTTTGGGAAATCGTTATATATGCGCCTCGGTAGAATAATGGCTTTTACAGTAGGTCATGCTCATGGCCAACAATCGAGGACATCTGAGAGTTGTAATTTGTGTACTCCTCCGAGGTGTGATTTTTGGCCTGCTGGGCCAAGCACAAGAAAGCCTTCTGCCAAAAAAACTGAAGAACTTGAAATGGTGGTTGTTTGATCCTTTGGTGTAATCTTTGTAGCTAGTCAAAGCTAGTTGCTGTTTGGGGCAGAAACCCTGAAGCTAACAATTTTCTAACTATTTTCTGCATAACTTGTACTCATGCATGTACTCGTGTACTCAGTCTCACTCGCATTTTAGCTGTTTTTCTGGAAGGGATGCTGCTCTGCGGCCCTCGGTGAACATTACCTGTGCTCGTGGAGCAGCTGAAAAGGACCACTAGTATGTCTGGTTCCAGTCTCAGCCTCTTTTACGGGCAAAATAAACACAATGAATATTTTTTCCCAAGTGTTCCAAAAACTTCAACTCTAAGTTCTAGAAAGAAAGAAAAAAAGAAAGAAAAAACACGCAAAAAGCAAAACAGCATAATAATGTGTATACCTACTTAGGTAAACAGCAGCAAGTTCAACTTCAAGTCAATATTCCAGTCACTATTACCGCTTGTGCACGCTAAGCCGGTACCCGGGCCTCTACCACTGCCAGCGGAGCAGAGGTATCACCCACAGCCAAGGCAGACTGGCTAGAGAGCCTTCTGCACCCTCGGAGGCACATGATGCAGGACCGCAAGAGTGAAAAAGCGATCCTGCACCTGATGAAAGCCATCACATGAGAGTACTGCTCCCCTCTTTTCGCCGCCAACAGAGAGGCCACTCGTTTGTAGAGGGCCGTTGCTGCCTTGCCCATGCCTCCGCTCGCAGACATCACAGCCGGAACAAAAGTGCCATGCTCCACTTGTCTCACTCTCTCTTCGTAGTGCCTTCGTTTCTCTCTTTCGTGTCGATGATACACAGTGGTACGTGGTGCAGACTGATTTGAGCGAGCATAAGGATTAAAAACCCGGACATCAATTAGGGTTCGCTCAAATCGACTGCCCCACAAACCACTGGCAGCGACATCAAGGCGTGCATGATCCTCCACGTTGACCGTTCGGTATTGCAATCGCTTACCGGTCAGTGGCTGCAGCGTAGGCTCCGTGGACACATTGCTACAGACTTGGTGTAGGAGCTGTGCGGTAGTGTCACGAATGACATTGTGTCGTATGGTGGGAAACCCTCCATGAGGACAGGATAGTGAGTGAGAAACGCTCACCTCTTGGCCACATGAACAATGAGTCGGTATTCTCGCCGGCGTACATCCATAGCGGAGACACAGCCCGTCCCAGAACTCTTGCATCGTGAAGCTGAAGCCGTACTTCTTCAGCGGACGACGTATGTCTGGTTCCTGGTTTGAAAGTGGACAGTCGACTTTTGTGCCTTGAAAAAGGAGTAGAGAGCAATAAAGGTACATTGTACGTCTGTAGCTTATTTTTGAGTGCTCCTCGTACATTTTGATGGTGATAGAAAATTCTCAGATCAAAGTCAGCGCAGCGGTGGGCGTACAGTTTTCTTGTGGATTTTTTCGTTTTTTCATCTCGTACCTATGTCAGTATTGTGATGGTGAATTGGACAGGGTGATTTTATTCCTCTAGGCTTCATTCGATCGACTTTGCTTCGTCCTCGTTGAAAAGTGGAGCTTGAAAAAATTCGATTTGCAAAATTATGTTGATTTTCAATGTACATGTACATGTACATGTAGGTGTAGGTGTAGGTGTAGGTGTAGGTGTAGGTGTAGGTGTAGGTGTAGGTGTAGGTGTAGGTGGTGGCATGCGATTGCTGTGGCTATGTACAGTCTACTTGGCTTATAACGACACTCGGCGGCGGGGCATCAAAAAGGTGTCCTTATTCGCGAAGTGTCGTTATACCCGAAGTCTGATGATAATATTATGTATTACAGTGGGATGGGACTTTGCTCTGGGCATGGAAATTCTGTCGTTATTCGCGAATTGTCGTTATATCCGCAGTCGCTATTAGCGATGTTGACTGTATGTATCTCATTTGCACATTGTCAATTTCTGCCTTGCTCTGAAACACAGCATTCGATGGGACACATCAACAGGTACAGGCAGGGTTGCAAGCTGCTGGGACATATGTCACTCCAGTACAGCCCTACGTTATTTTAATACCTCAGCCAGTTGCAAACCAACCGCAACCTGTTGGTCAGCAGCACAGCCATATTGGACAACCTGTCAACACTGGTGGCTTCAGTAGTGTTGTGCAGTTTCCATCATACTCAAGTGCGTCTCAACTCATCATTAGTCTCATGTCATCACCAGCACAACGTGTGAGTCCATACAGTCTGCCACCCAATCAGTACGCCGCCCAACCCATGCCTACTGCTACCACTACCAGTGCAACGCAAGCCGGCGACTTTCAACAGACCGCACTGAACCATCTAGCACAATGCACTGTACACCATCAATGGAGCAACCCCTCTGCCCCTCCATTGCCATTGAATGGCGGACATCAAGGAGATCTGTGCGAATGGTGTGGCGGACATCAAGTACATCTGTGCGAATGGTGTGTAGATGACAGTCTAAACATATGTGGGTTGACTTTCTCTGATGACACCGAACTAATGGAGCATGTAACGAAAGCTCATATCCAACTGACCAGTCATGAACTTCCTGAACAGGAGGATGGCAACGTCCACATCTGAAGGTGCATTGAAACCACTGGCAGCATCAGCAACAGTAGAACTCTCTCCCATCCCCACAGCACTCTCTCCCATCCCCGCAGCACTCTCTCCCATCCCCGCAGCACTCTCTCTTTCATCCCCGCAGCACTCTCTCCCATCCCCGCAGCACTCTCTCTCATCCCCACAGCACTCTCTCTCATCCCCGCAGCCGCTGCATTTCAAGCGGTCTTGCTCACAGCAAGGTGATGTAGAAAGTGAAACTGACTGATTTGGCTAATAGAGGCGGGGTGACACTTGGTGGCGAAGTAAAAGTCACACATGCATACCACATGAGTGGGTTGCTATGCACCCACATACGGAGGCAATAGCAAAGTCACACCTTAGTGGATCCAAAATGGAAATCTGATGTCAACTTACTACAGGTGTAATCCTGATAATTCGAACCTCAAAATGCCAGGAAAAAACTTCTAATTATCCGGACATTCTAATTATCCAAACATGAACCCACAACACAATATGTACCGTATTTCCGCAAATAAAAGGCCGTCCTCGTATACAACGCCTTCCTCGTATACAAGGCCGGGGCAGGGGGCGATTGAAAAAATAAAAGACCGTCTCCGATTAGAAGACCGGGCCTGCTAAATGAGTCTTTGTTCTTGTGTTAAAAATAGAAGACCGTGCTCAAACTGTGGGAAAATACAAGACCGTGCTCAAACCGTGTAGAAGAAAATGGAAGAACGGGGGTAAAACTGTGTGGCGAGAAATAGAAGACCGGGGTCAAACTGGGTTGAAAGAATAAAAGACCGTCCTCGGATACAAGACCGTCCTCGATTATAAGGCCGGGTTAGGACGAGGTTGAAAAAATAGTAGACCGGCCTACTATTTGTGGAAATACGGTATGTCAAAATGCTCTCATGGTCACGCAGAGTTGCGCTATGGACCTCAGACACAGATTTCGCGGATACTGACCTGACCGGCACAGCCTGCTCATGCAAACTGAACTGACCAGTACAATGTACAGCGAACTTCGAATTACACTTTGCTAACTTCGAATTATCAGCACAAATCCCACACATTTTCTATGTAAGTCAGTGGAATCTGTGGGACTTCGAATTAACCGGACATATCCAGTTCGAGGTTCGATTTATCAGAATTTTTTATGTAGGACTCGTATTGATAGAAATGGGTCCTGGAAAAACTTCTAATTATGCGGTATGTTCGAATTAAAGGGGAAGTTAAGGCAAAAATTAAAATTTCACCAGTTGTAGTCTTCGGGGTGCTGAGTCGAATGGTCTTGGTCCGAGAAAGCTGAGACGCTCGCTTCCTACTTGAATCCCAATCGAACTCGCGCACTTCCACCGAAACTGGGTGACTGCGCCCTACTAGATGGGGATTTGTATGCAAAATGTCACTAAAAGCGCCATTTCGTTCTTATAAAAGCACGGATGACCGCGATTGGCCCATATGTTGTAGTCTTTTGGACGCTGAGTCGACTGGTTTTGGTCCGAAAAGGCTGCGATGCAGCGTTCCTCCTTTATTCCCAATCGAACATGGTTGAACAAGCGGTCACGTGCTCCTGCGTACACCAGTCAGCTGGTCAACGTGCCTGCACGGTACAACTTACTAGCCTGTTTGACCTTTTTTGTGTGCAGTCCTGTCACTCGAGTTCAACCTTGGTGTGAAAGTTGTCGCCTGCTGGCGTGGTGACCATGTGATTTGGGCACCCAGGAGCACGTGACCGCTTCTTCAACCATGTTCGATTGGGAATAAAGGAGGAACGCTGCATCGCAGCCTTTTCGGACCAAAACCAGTCGACTCAGCGTCCAAAAGACTACAACATATGAGCCAATCGCGGTCATCCGTGCTTTTATAAGAACGAAATGGCGCTTTTAGTGACATTTTGCATACAAATCCCCATCTAGTAGGGCGCAGTCACCCAGTTTCGGTGGAAGTGCGCGAGTTCGATTGGGATTCAAGTAGGAAGGGAGCGTCTCAGCTTTCTCGGACCAAGACCATTCGACTCAGCACCCCGAAAACTACAACTGGTGAAATTTTAATTTTTGCCTTAACTTCCCCTTTAACTTCCCCTTTAAGCCATATTCGAATTATCAGGATTCCACCTGTACTCCCTGGCCGTTTTTGACGTCAGCACTCTCAAGCCCTTGCAGCTAGCTGTCCAGCGAGGAAAGTCTCGAGTGGAGGCCTCTTGATCTGCTCGCTCATTCGCCTGGCATTCAGTAGCACTTCATCGCCAAGGACTTCAATTCAAAACAGTTTTCACACTGCGCTTCGAGCCTTTTTCCTCGTGAACTTGCTGCAAACGTATGACTATGAGCTCTGCTGCGCGTGTTCCCTTTGTGTGAGGCCCAGAAACAGCTTGTATCTCCGTACTTCCATTGGCTGGATCGATGTCGTCCATGTTCTCCTCGCTATCGCCATCACGACTATAAACTGGAGACGATTTCTTCACCATTTTCCGCAAGCAGCAGCTAGCGCAGAAATTTCGCCATCCCTGAGTGTAGGAGATGGAATCCGTTCGATCAGCTCAAAACTCTTCGTTGTGACTAGATGAGTAGCAGGGAATATTCTACCGGAAGCCCTTTGACTTCCCTGACTGCTGAAACCCTTCCTGCCATGACTGCTACTTTATTATTTCACAATCACGATGACATAGTGCCAATAAGCATGTGATGCGGGCGATTTTAACCAGCCATGGTGGGGACAACTGAGAAAAAGAAGGAGAAGAAAAAGAGAAAACAAAACAAAACAAAAGGAGTACTATAGGAACCTGGAGAGAGCAGTATGAAGATAAGGCTAGCAATGGAAAACAACGAATTCAATTCAATTCAACTTAGGCGCGGGCAGAATGGAACAAAATGCAGCGAAGGTGTCACGAGACTTTACCTCCTGCGGAAGCCGAGACCAATGAGAATAGGACTTGAACAGAGGGGATTTTAAAAGGATCGATGACCTGGCAAGTGGGAAATGGAGAGAACATCTAGTACGCGAGCTATTATTGAACCAGCTTAAATGCGCAAGTGCATGAGGAGGAGCAAGTTGAAGCTTAATACGGTGAATGAATTTGCATGCCGAGTGGGGAAAGCGTTCTGAGAGAGGGGAGGAGGAAGCCAAAATGTATAGCGTCTGAGAGGAGGTCAGAGGGGGCATGCGAAATATTAATCGAAGTAATTTACGGTGGGTGACTTCTAACCGATGCATAAGAGCGGAGGATAGACCGGAAGACCAAACGAGAGAGCAGTAATCAAACAAAGGAAGAACATAAGAGTGATAAATTTGTATTCGACAACCATGGTGTAGATGGGAGATGTGAGGAGAAATGCAGCCTATCGCGGAGCAGACTCGCTTTTCAATATAGGTTACGTGCGAATCCCAGGACAAGTGTTCATCAAGAAATATACCAAGGTGTTTGTGATATATTTCTTGATGAACACTTGTCCTGGGATTCGCACGTAACCTATATTGAAAAGCGAGTCTGCTCCGCGATAGGCTGCATTCTACTTCTTCAAACAAGCGAGATTCTCTTTGGTTCCACTTCACTGCACTCGATCGAGCGTCGACGCGTCCACGCGCGCGACACAACTTTTTACAAAACATTATTTTTCTCAAAAAAAAATGTTTTCACCCTAAGCCTGGTACATGGTCTTCGCAGAAGTAAAAAAAGTGGGCCATTTGAGTACAGTACATATTTGAGTATAATGCCACTTTTGCGGAAATGTAGTGTTATAATGCTAGCATAATGCTCGTTGCAAATCGCACACTATAATGCTACTGCTAGCATTATCCGCCCAGGCCTAGCTACAACAGCATTTTCCACAGCAGCCAACAACTATTCAGCCATTATTATTTTTAACACTATTTTAATACGAGTTCGTATTGTTGTCCCTCACGCGGACGTGCGACTAGTTGTTGGAGGTGACAGCGTTGTGAATAGCTATACTGGCTCTCAACGTCTGTGTTTTTACCTCTCGTCTTGATTCACCATTCCACAAACGTAACGTCGTTACTGTAGTATTAGAAGACTGTATTATTACTCTTTCATTCTCATGCCAAACATGACACAACAGCTAACTCATACTAAAACAAGAATGACCAAAAACTAGTGACCTGCACCACCGAAGCAGGAACCTAAAACTCTCCCACACACCAAGGAAAACAAGCCCCCTCTACGCCTACGGATCACGGACTACAATCCCGATCCTAGCCTAGCGGCAAATGATACATACTCAGTACAAGTCGATGACAAAAGCGGTGCCGGTGTTAGGTGACAGCTGCATACGAATGCATGAAAGGGGTCAGACAGTTCATGTATCATGTGTACCGGCAGTTGTAACTGGAGCCGACTGAAAGTCAATACATCAATAGCAGTGTTAGTCATACATGAAGCCCAAACTACAGAAAGTGTAGCAGTGGATACAAAGTAAGTTGCATACGACGGGTGTTGCTTGTCGCCAACGTCGCCTACGGGGGCAACATCCTCTCCCCAGTGACGATTTATCCGTCACTAACACAACGGACGTCTAGCACGCAGAGCTTGGCTACCGGCCGGCGGAACACACCAGTCTGGGCCTTGACATCTGCTACCCGCACCAGGCCGTCTCTGCCGGGGATAGGTCGCCGTCACTATCCCCTTCGGCCATGTGTTCCTCACTGCGTTGTCGTCGGCGATGACCACCACATCACCTACTTCCACCTTCTTCTCTGTTCTTCCGTGCCATTTGGTTTGCCGGGCTAGCGTTGGCAAGTATTCCTTAATCCAGCGGCGCCAGAAATGGTCTGCTAACACTTGCACGATGCGCCACTGCCGGCGCAGATGTAGGTCATCACCACTGAATACTCCGGGCACTGGTGCTGCTGCTGGCGTCCCTAGGAGGAAGTGGTTCAGCGTCAGGCTGTTGTCGTCAGTTGGGTCAGAGGACACATGTGTGAGCGGGCGGCTGTTGAGTATCGCCTCAACCTCTGTAAGTAGCGTGATGCGTGTATCCTCACGCGGAGCACGTTCCTTGAGCACGGCTCTCAGGGCGGTTTTCACAGA